AGGTCATTGCTAAAGCTGAACATAAAACTGCTATTTCAGTTTGGTTTGGAATCTGGGGGCAGAAGGTGGTATTATCCTTACTGCCTTTGCTACAGGCAGTAAAATGCCTTCATCTCGCCTGGCCACCCCCACACAATGAACATGAATAGGTAGGCAAGAGGGCATCACCAACATGCATTCATTAAGACTTGTGATCAGATCCTAAGTGCATGTGTGTATGTTTGGAGAGGAAGAGGTCTGTTCAGGCATCTGAATGAATTAGTACAAGAAGGCTGCGGTGAGGCTTACCACACTGTCTATTTCTTGATATATATTATTTCTTTGTTCTTATGATGTGCCATCACAGAGCCTCTGACTTGAAAGGATTCTATGAATTTGTGACTAGAGATGGGATATTCATTTTTGTTAACAAATACGAATATCCCTGGCCTGGGAGTCCCGGATCTCCAGATCCACCTCCCAGAACTGATCTGTCCACCTACAGGTCACGGTGCAGCGTGCAGGGCCGGGTGTCCTGCTCAAGGTGCCAATCTGCTATGAAGACCAGCTGCTGCTGTTCTGCCTTCCTGCTCTTCTGGCCACTCCAGCCAGGGGGCAGGAGGATGAGTCCCCCCCCCACTCAGCTGCCAGGTGGCCAGAAAATCAGGTAGGTGGAGCAGATGGGCTTTATCACAGATCAGCATGCTGAACAGGATTCTGGCCTCGCTCACTGCACCACGACACGTAAGTCGTGTCTGTTCTGGAAGGTGGACCTGGTGATCTGGGACACCTGGGCGTGGGATATTTGTATTTATTCACCCATGTCTATTTGTGACTTCCAAAAGTTCCTATCATTAACATTTCTTTCCACACAAGTTGCCTAAGTATTAGAAATTTTTGTACTCTACGCCTACTCCTGTCTTTCTTTGCCTTTTGTTATGCATGTGTTGCTTATGTCAACATGTACTAATTTTAGACATTTGTGGAGAACTAAGGTTTTGACAAAGCTGGCATAGGAGTAAGCATCAAGGCAGTCATTTTGCTCCAGGGTTAGGCGTTATGTCAGTTATTGTCAAAAAGGTTAAGGACATGTTTTTTTGAAAGCCACTGAAAAAGAAGTAAAGGTACACTGACCAACAGCCAAGTCTGAAAATACTGGGCTTTGCTAACATGGTCTATGTGCAGTTCAGTTCCTTAAATAAAACTGTTACTGCAAAAGGATTTCAAAAGCAGGTTATGAAGCCAAATCTTGCCTTATTTTAGAACAGAGCAAATTATTTGTCATCACAAACCACCAGCATAAGTGTCCGTGTGAAGGGTTCTCTGCACCCAAACACTGGATAACAGCTATGTTTCCTATTACATTGTGATGTTTAGTTTTTCAGCTTCATGCTTTCCCTGCATAAAGCAAAAGCAGCAGCAAAGTGTGCTGCTTATCTATCACCCCATAGCACTTAAAGCATGCTTTGAGCAGTTTACAATTTAATTATGCAGGCTACTCATCCCCCCCCCAACCCCCCGTGAGCCGAGTACTCAATTTACTGATCTTGGAAGGAAGGAAGGCTGAGTGACTCTCAAGCCAGCTACCTGGGATTGAACCCAGGGAACAGAGTTGTGGCTAGAGTACTGCAGTTTCACCACTGCACCATAAGGTTCCACAAATTATACCTGGGGTGGGGAGAAATAATGATAAAATAATTAGGTGAAACTGATTGTTAATGCAGTCATCTACTCTAATTTTCAGACATGCAAGCGAAACAATGCATTCATGTCATAGCATCATTGCATTTGCTATTTCTATGTGCTGTAATTATCTTTTATTCTACCCAATGTACAAAGGGGCTTTAAGATGTAAACATAAAAAGTCAGTCAATCAATCCTTGCTGGTGCAATGTACATGATGTGTCACATCCCATTATTTTAAGCAATGGTCGGGATATGAAAACAACTTTCCATGCAATGCCTCCTTGCCCTCGCCAGCAGAAATGATATGAGCTAGCTAAACATGACGGATTGTCTAATGCCATTAATGTTACCTGTTATTTGATGGAAGATCCTGCATTCAACAGAGGCAAATTGTTGGGTTATTTTTATGAATAAGGAAGATCTTTGTCTCATTTTATTTTCATAATTTTGACAGATTATCATTCTAAGAAAATAGACTGGAAGGACAATCCCTTGAGACAATAGCAGGGACATATATATTTATTCACAACAGAAGCAATTCCAGTGATTTCAAAGTCCTGGGTAACCAAAAGAAAGTGGTTCTTGATCCGTATAGCTATTTTAAATTCCTACTGAGTTTAATAACCATTTTGAGATGCTCCCTTCCAAACTACAGATGGCATCAGAAGTCAGTGAGATCTTCCTCGCTGAAACTTGAGAGCTGCTTCCACTTTAATGTACTTCCAACAAGTAGTAGCTTAAAAGTAGATCTCTACATGGAACAATCTGCTATCCTCCCTTTCAATTGTATGAAGATACAAAAGCTGAATGGGGTTCTGCCCTGTCCTACTTTAGGGATATGAATAAGAAATGTTCATGTTAAAAACAGTCTTCAATTTCTAGAGGAATAGGTATGTTTTATATCTCTTTAGTAATCTCTTAAATATCTTCTGCTCATGATGCACTCACATATTACACTGTTGTCTGTTCTCTTTATATGGAAAATGGCTGCCTGGAAACAGTATCAAAGACTATCTTAGGCATTGAGAAATTGTTTACTCAGGAAATTACATATCTATAGATAAAACAGGATGAAGTTTGCTTGCTACATACACCAAGACAAGGCAAAGATTGTACGAAGAGGAGATGGGAGAGGAAGTTAAGCCAGATGTGAAAATACCTATTTATAATATTGGAATCAATAGATTGGTTAAGACAGGCGCAAACACAAGAGGGAATCTTAATTACTTGAACATGTAGAGTTGCATATTTCTCAACTTCCTATGTGGCCACCCTGGAGTTGTCCATCAGATTGCTACAGATTTGAGCTGTGTTCAATGTATTCGCGAAGGCTTTCACGGCCAGGATCTAATGGTTGTTGTGGGTTTTTCGGGCTCTTTGGACGTGTTCCGAAGGTTGTTCTTCCTAACGTTTCTCCAGTCTCTGTGGCCGGCATCTTCAGAGGACAGCTTAGCATCTCAAGCAGTTAGGATTGAAGCCTGCAGGCAAGGGAGGCCAGGTAGTCCCAGCTGTCCTTGGGAGTTTTCCTTCCCTTAAAACCTCTAACCTGCCTTCCCCTGCACAGATACTGGCCTTCAGCCGATCAGATGGTTTTCCAAGGAAAGTAGCCCCCTGGAAGTTTCTTCAGCATCTCCCCTGGCAGACGTCTCTCTTTCTCAACCAAAGGTGGTGAGAACTCCCAGATGTCTGATTCCAAAGCCTCCCCTGCTCCTTGTTCACTCCCCTCTATTGCTACTTCGGCCAAGACTACAGCTGTTTCCCTGGGGGAGGGCCACTCTCCCTTGCCTCAGGTGTTTTCCTTAACAATAACAGCCCTGCTGTTGATGAGGAGGCCTGCCCACGCTGGCACTTAGCTCCTTCCCACCAGCCAGCTTTAGCCGGCTCACAGTCGTTTTGTGGGGAACTTGCACCTCCTAGGCCTCAGTCAAGCAGTCTATCCCTTAAACCTTACTGGTTTTCTAGTGGCTGCTTGAATAATGTCTTAGTAGCTCAAATGAACATGAGGTCTGTATATACAGCCTAATTTTAAAGTCGGACTTTACTTCCAGTCTACAAAAATTACTAACCTGAAACATTTCCTTTTATTCACTAGTTCAGTATGTCCTCTTTGTGATTTAAGTCCTGATATGTGAAATGTGTTTGCTCATGATTCAAAAACAGTTTGATTAGTTTTCATATGCCCTTTGCCATGAAGACAAATGGAAAGTTGGCATCAAAGTGTTTAAAGGAGGCCCCAAACAAGCCTCAAACTTTGCCCTCAACAGACCAAAATAATGTCATGTAATACTTACAGGGGCCACCTTATCAGAGGAATATTTTACAATATCTTTCTGCTATACGACACTCACCCCATGATCGGAATGCAAAGAAGAGCTAGCTGACAACCATCAGATTCACTCTGAGATTAGAAGGATTTTATAGAATGATAGAATTGTAGAGTTATAAGGACCCCAATGGTTGCTGAGCCTGACTTCTTGACCAAACTGGCCAAAACAATAATGACGGGAAAAGTTAAAGGCAGCAGGAAAGGAAGATGACCGAATATGAGATGGATTGATTCACTAAATGAAGCCGAGGTCTTGCATTTGCAAGAACTCAGCAGGGCTGTTGATGACAGGACCTTTTCCAGGTTGTTTGTTTCTGAGGTTGGCATGGGTCAGAGGCAATTTGCAGCATTCAACAAATGCAACTTCTTCCTGATCACTGTTCTTCCCTGTCTTCTTTTAGTGATGCATGTATTTCTTTTTAGTGAGGTATACCTGCTGGTAAACCACCATATTTCTTCAAAACTTGATCCATAGTGGACCTTCAAAAGAAGATTTTGGATTACATGGAATGGGCTGCAAGGGAGAGGGGAAAGTCTTGTCACACAAGCATAAGATTGTTATTATGGTGTGGGATCCTGCCCACAGATCCCACATAAATTTGAAATGGTCCTCAGTTAGGCCTAATCCCAGAAGGGTATCACTACATGAGACACCATTGTGATTCACCATGACAACAATCTGAATTGGATCCCACAATTGCAGTGCTTCACAATTGGTTGGTGGAGCTAGCTTTGACTGAATGGAAGGGCTGAACAGATGAGGATCTTTTTCTAACCTGAAGAGCAGAGTTGGGTTCAAAGGTGCAGCATAGGTTATGTGCAGCCACCTTTGTGCAGCAAGACTGGGAGAGACCAGGTAGTTCCCAGTTTTGTGCCGCAAATCAGGTGAGGGAGCATGTCAAATGGACTATTGAGGGAAATTAGGCTATATTCCATTCCATCAAGTTCAACCCTTTTCAATCTGTCTGTGAAATCCTCCTGAAAACACATTATATTATTTTAAATACAGGCACCGTCTGAAATTCTCTTTGCTTATTTAAGCATGCAAAGCTGGCAGGCTGTCCTTAATTTGAACAGGTGAGCACTGATTGTGAAATCTGTTGTGCCGCCGGCAACACAATCAGTTATAATCATGTAATAATCACTTAACCATTATTCTGCTCATTACGTAAAACTACACTGGTGTAAATTTCTGGTGTTATGCCTGGCAACAAGAATAGTGCCATACACTTGCACAATTGGCCACGTGCCTCAGCATGACTGATTGCACAATGCACCACAATGCACTGACACTAATATCGAATCATAATTTTTTAAAAAAAACAAAAAGCCCTATAAATTAATCATTTCCTGAGATGTCAGAAGGTTTCTAAAACCCAGATTGCTTATTTACTTATTTTTATTTATATATTTATATGCCACAATATTTTATTTTTACATTTATATATCACTATGTCTAAAGCAGTTTTTAGGGTCAGAGCACATATTAAGGCAAGCACGTTTCCTCCTGTTAAAATGTTACAAGACCAGGGATGCAAACCTTTCAGTGCTACTTCTTTAACAGTATAATCCATACTCAAAGATATGCTCACCGTGGTGGGTTTGGAATGCGAAGGTGTTTCTAGTGCTAATGTAACGGTCCTTGTGTCTGATAATCTCAGATCTGGTTGCACAAGTGGATTTTGTTCAAGAACCAGAAGAGGGGAGAAAAGGGGGAGGAGCTGGGTCTCCAGCCCAGACTCACAGCCATTATGCTGGTACCATGTGAGGCAAGTTAGGATAGTCCTAAGTAATTTCCAACATCCCTAGGCCAGGATGGTTTTGGATTTAGCATAGCCTCCGCTAAATGGCTCAGTGTCAGCTCAGCTGAAACACTGCTAATTTTGACTAGTTGGGATTACTCCCTAAGGTCCCAAATACACAAACAAAAAAAATATTAGAATGAACATACCTACTATCTGAACAAGTAGGACTTTGCCCCTTGCAATTTAGGCTGTTCCTCAGATTTTAGGGCATCATAAAAGAGAAAATCCTGAGATAGCCAGGACTCAGCCTCTTAAGGCTTTAAAGCCCAAATTTGAATTGGGACTGGAAAAAAGTTTATATGCCAGTGAAATTATTTTAAAATGTATGTGATATAGGCTGTCAGATATTTGAGCTCTGGTTGAAATTCCCCACATGCTTTCAAGGGCAGTCCCCCAAATGTTTAAACATGATTATGACAAATAGTGTATTTTAATCTTTCTGTTGAGTATGTACATAGAGTCATAGAGTCATGGAAGGGACCACTGAGGCCATCCAGTCCAACCCCCCGCCATATGGGAATATCCATCACAGTACTCCCAACAGTTGGTCATCCATGCCTCAGTTGATCCCATCACTGGTCCTGTTTTCATTATTACTCATTTCCTGTTGCATTATTTCAGCCCTCATTTCAGGTTTGTGTGGTGTTTTGGTTTTGTGCGTTTTCCATAACTATCAGATAAGGAAAAAAAGATGGCAAGTATATTCTCACGTCTCTTGGCTGGTCGAAGAAGTGTTGTCCTCTTTGCCACAGTAAGCACTGGAGCCTTGACAACTGGATACTTGCTGAATCAGCAGACTTTGAAAGCTAGAGCCTTTGAAAGACACAAGTTGTTTCCTCCAAGGTAAGTATTCTGATTCATATCTTTAATAAACAAGCTGTGGGGTGGGGTGGGGTGCTTGTTGAAAGTCCTTACAATATGCGTTGAAAAAGCACCACATGCTTGCAGGGTCAAAGGAAGCTGTCTAAAACTGGCAATGGATGCAGAAATCAGAAACTGAGGAAGCGCCACACAACTAAGAAATCAGGAAGCAGAGGGATATAGGGGTAAAAGAAGCAGGGTGGAATAAAGGAAAAGGAAAATGCACAGGGAAAACAGTGGGAGAAGCATCTCATACAAAGTCTGAGAAAGACTCTGTCCTTGGACTGTGACGTGAATAAGAAAGATGCTGGATGTGGAAATGTGAGTCAAGAGGATAACATGAATGGGGCAGTAGAGGGTGGACATAACTTGATTTGTTATTTGGAGGGCAGACATCGAGATGCAAATGATATGTCTGAACCTTGACAGGGCACTTTTAAAAATATGCACATATTTTTACAATTCAAAGGAAGCCAAATCCAGTGTTAGTTCCACATCAAGCAGACCCATTCAAAACCCTTGTGACTAAAATGTCAATCCATTTCAGCAGATCTACTTGAGTTGGGGCCAACACTAGATTTGGCCTGAAGGCTTCTGTGAAGCTAATAACACTAAATCTCTGTTTCTAATTAGTCTTGTTTATGAAATTAATCTTCTCCAAGGTGGTCAAAGGGTCTCTCTGTTTCAACCTGAGAACAACCTTGTAAGTTGGAAGAATTAATGACTCGTTTGTTTTTACTCAATGGGCTGCTCGAGAATTGAAGCAGAGTCTTCTCATAGTCCTAGACTAATGTCAACTTTACCCGCCACTCAACTTTAGTTTAGTTCGCAAATGTTATTAAAAGGTATCTATATCAGAACTGTCAATATAATGCTCTATCACTGCAAATCATACAAACTGCTATAGTTTCAACAATTCTGCATTCACAGCATTGATTTACATCCAGCTGTGGATTTAGCTCATTAACTTTACTTGCACTTTTAATTTGGCAGAAAATACACACAAATATAAATTCTGAAGGACATTTGTTTCCTTCCATCTGCCTAAGTGCTTCTGTTATGTGCTGAAACGATCTCTGTGGCTTCAGCGGGAAGCCAGCAGACTCCCGGAAAGCACTGTAGGTTTGCTTCCCATACAAATTTCAACTGCATGCATGAATCAACAACCAATCACACTTTCAAGATTCCTGCTGTTTCTCCATACCTTCCCGTTCCCTGTAAAATATTTACGCACATAATCTTTTGATCCTCTTTTTTGTTAAAAGCAGAGGACAAATGAGGTGTGCATTCTATCCAGAATATACTAATTAACTGGAAAAGAGAATACAGCATTACTAATCAATATGAATGTTTTTTTGTTTATTTCTACCTAGTGCAGACTACCCAGATCTTCGTAAACACAACAATTGCATGGCTGAGTGTCTCACGCCAGCAATCTATGCCAAACTGAGGGACAAGATGACTCCTAATGGCTATACACTGGATCAGTGCATCCAAACTGGTGTTGATAATCCTGGTCACCCTTTTATCAAAACAGTGGGCATGGTTGCTGGTGATGAAGAATCTTATGAGGTGAAACAATTTTATTATATTTAATGCTCCCCTCATTGGACTTATATTTTTATTTCATGAAATAGTTAAATGAACAGATTCCTCACATGATATGTTGTTTTCAAGGACACTAGAGTGTACACAGAACACAAGCCATATGGATAATGCTGCTACTTGTTTATCTTCTTTGCAGGATTTTACAGTCTCTTTTTCCTCAGTGGATCATTCAATGAAGAGAAAACATCATTAAAGGCACTCTCTGTATAACAGTATCTAGAATAAAATGCATGAACAGTAGACAATAAATATTTGCTGTCTGTAGCTGCCTTCTCTCCCACTGCTAAATTCAGCTTGAGTTTAAAAATGTGGAACCTTATTTACTAAATGGAGTGGAGTAACACTGCAAATCTAACACACACACACACAAACATTAATATAGGTAGTCAGATAAAGTGATAAATTATTACTGTTTTTCTCTTGAAGTAGGAACACCAAAATCATATGTTGATATTTTGGCAGCTGGATGATATGAATAAATAGAGAAAGATTTGCTTTAACAATAGGCATCACAAAACCTGGATGGAACAGAGTCTTTTAAAATAAAATATTTTTAAAAAATTACGCAATGGTTTCTCAAGTAAAAATACACTAGACTCTTGCTTTATTATCTTCATTGTAAAAGCCAGGCATTTACTGCTTGACAAAAATGGTGAGAAGGCATACAAATTAATTGGGAAACATAGAATCTGTAGGGATTTGCTGAAATTATACAATATTCAGAATAGAGTTCATATTCTTCTTCAGAAAGAGTAATAAATGAATAATCATGGTAGATTTTCAAATCAAGGAATATAATATTTCAGATTTTCGGTTTTAAAGACTGGAAGGGCTTTAAAAGTCAGGAAATTCTTCTGAAAGTTCCAGAATCCAACTGAAAATTTATGTCAGTGTAACTCTATTAGTGTCAATTTCAGTGGCAAATTGCTGCAAGTTATGAAGTCAGTATAGGCATTGGCTGTCACATGACATGTCATCTGACTGTTATGCTACAGCAAATGCCTACACCAGTTTATTAACTTGTGGCAGTTCAGTACTGAAATTTACACTAAAGAGGTTATGCTAGCAGGTGCAATTAACAAGATTCTGTCCTGTTATATTCTAACCCTAATATCAAGATTTTGTACTTATTAAAATCACTGTTTTTTGTAAGGAAACTTTTTTTTGTCTTTTAGGGATCTCTTGTCAGCAGTCCTGTATTCTGTGACTAAAACATTCCTGACCATGGAGAAAGGAGGCATGTTCCTTGTCTCCAGTGTATATAACACTGTAAATAAAGATAGCACGAAACACGCAGGCTACCATTTCACACAGTGTAGCTGCTGACATATATTTTGACTTGCCAGTAGAGATGGGCTAAAACAAATTATAAACCAAAAAAACCCCATGAATTGGACTGTTTTGTGGTTCATTTCAGCATGCTTCAGGGAAAACATACCTGACCAGAACATAACAAAATGCTGAACTATTATCAGCATTGGTGATTCAAATGCTTTGTGGTCCTGCAATTTGGGACTTCCCAGAGTGGTAGAATGAATTAGAGACACCAAACTCACAGCGGGTCATCAGCTGACTTTCCTCCCCGTACTCTCCAAGTTTGGTGAAAACTGAATTTGGGATATTAGAGTTTTAGATAGATCAGGCATCCTTCAGTCTTGAGAGACTATGGTAACATGCTCTGTATGGAGGACTTGGAACAGCATCTAGTGTGGCTGAGGAGGCCAATTCAAGATTGAGAATCCCTTCCACACTGAAGACAAATACAATCTGTCCCCTGTCCAGCTCTCTGATTTTGCTGGTTTTGGGACTGCCTCGGCCTCGGCCTCCTGAAAAGGTGTCTCTTCAAATTGCGAGAGGCCATGATGCACCGCCTGCCTCCAGGGTGAACGCACAAATGTCAAGGTTTCCAGTAGCGATATATGGAAATGAGATCTAGACCATAAAGAAGGCTGACCGCTGAAGAATTAATGCTTTTGAATTGTGGTGCTGGAGGAGGCTCTTCAAAGTCCCCTGGACTGCAAGGAGAACAAACCTGTCCATTCTAAAGGAAATCAACCCTGAGTGCTCACTGGAAGGCCAGATCCTGAAGCTGAGGCTCCAATACTTTGGCCATCTGATGAGAGAAGAAGCCTCCCTGGAAAAGACCCTGATGTTGGGAAAGTGTGAAGGCAAGAGGAGAAGGGGACAACAGAGGACAAGATGGTTGGACAGTATCATCGAAGCGACCAACATGACTTTGACCCAACTCTGGGAGGCAGTGGAAGGCAGAAGGGCCTGGCGTGCTCTGGTCCATGGGGTCATGAAGAGTCGGACATGACTAAATGGTTCATTTCGTCAGAAAGTTTGTGGTTCATGGATAGTGACAAACCACAAATCATCACAAACCACTATTTTCCTTGTTCATGCCCATCTCTACTTGTCAGTAATCAATTGCAGTGTATTTTTGTCATGGACCCTTGAGCAGAACCCTGACACAGATCAATAGGAGAAAGGCTGGCCTGACTAATAGGTGAAATGAGGCAGGCACCCAAGGTGGCAGGTGGTAGGAAGTAGAACAGTGGCAAATGTTCTTCCCGTGCTGCCTAAACTATCGTCATACCATCAGATGGATAGGAAACACTGCCCTGTCAGTAATATTAGAGCAGAATTCCTATGCCAGTCCAGCAAGTTCTATTCTGGTATGTTGAACTGGGACTCCTATCCTGAATTTCACCTCACCAAACAAAATGTCCTTGTAGATTTTGAAGGTCAACAGTGCATGCCTCAGAGATGCTAAGTCTAGGCCCAAGTCACTTAAACTAGAAATCTGGCAGCTCTAAAAATGTCATGCCCTGAGCCAGCTCCCTTGAAGGTTAAAATCTTCTTTTACATTAGGTACCCCACAATCCTCAATCTTTGCTTGAAGGCACAGGCAACAGCTCCAGCTTAATGGTATATAAAATGTGGAAGGTTCTGGCTGTCCCAAGTGAGCTCAGATTCAAAGCATAAATCATGCTGTCTCCTTGGTGTTGTCTTATTTCTTGCAGTAAACTAAGGTTACAGGCAGATCCTACCTGTTACCTGAGCAAGCCATGCTCAGCGGGTACACAGTCCTTCTCAGAGACAAAAAGCACACCACTCTCTCTCCAATATTCAGTTTTTCCATTCCACAGCAGAGGGCAGGGCTTCACATTTATACATAGGGGTACACAGTCCTTCTCAGAGACAAAAAACACCACTCTCTCTCTAATATTCAGTTTTTCCATTCTAAGGCAGAGGGCAGGGCTTCACATTTATACATACTTAGCTGTGAAGTTCCCAACAATCCTGCAGTTTCCAATTTTCTCAGTCCGTACTGAGGAAAAGTGGCTCACCCATAATTACCCAGTAAAGGTCCACATTCTCCTTGCAAGTCCTATATTGTGTTCATACAATATATCAGACTGAGGTAAGAGTGATGCTTGATCTTGACTGAACATTCAAATGTCCTGTCACATAGTTGTGGTTTAGCTACCTCAGGAAGGTGATCTGAAATCCTACCTCATTACCTGCATCAATTTACAGCATATTGATAGCAGGATAGGTGGAATGTTTGTATTGGCTGGGAATGAAAATTGTCACTGGTTTTTAAAAAGACAAACCATATTTTGTGGTAAAACAGGTCTTCTTTTTTATGGAACAGTCAGAGTAGATGTCAAAACCCACAATGTGAAATAATAAAGATTTTGGAGGTAAAGGAGGAGGAGGAGGAAGAGGAGGAGAAAAAGGCTGTGTCAGGCATTCTCTACCATTTAAATTGCCACTGCCAGACATCCTGGCTAATTAATGTAATTAGAAGCTGAAGGTAGCAAGAGGAACTATAATTTTGTAGTCTGAAAGAGATTGTTCCACTGAAATGCTGAAATGCTTTAAAAACTCTTTAATCACTTTCCTTTCACTCCATACAGATCAACATCAGTACCACACACACTGATGCAGAGGCAAAGTGACATACTAATACACAACAGCCTTTGAATTTGAGCCCTGCTTGCTTTAACTGCCTAAGCATTTGCAACAAGTGGGCCATGGCCTAAAAGCCAATTTTTAAAAATACATCAAAACATACTCTGCTGAATGGTGACTGACATCCTGTAGTAAGTCACTAATAGAGTAGGCCCATTGAATCAGTGAACTAGTAAGTCACTAATAGAGCAGGCCCATTGAATCAGTGAAACTTATGGAAAGGTTGGCACACCAAATCCCCACTAACTCACTGGGCCTACTCTAGTGGCAAATCTTGCCAGCTCAATGGGCCTACTCTAGTGGCAAATCTTGCCAGGGACTCTTCAAAGGCTGTGTTGTAAAGAGGAATCCTGAGCCCATGTGTCAGACAGTGGATTAGAGAAAGGAGTCATTCCTCACTAAATTGCAATTGCAATATAATACCATTATGCCTTCTTTACTGGCAAAAGGAACTGATTGTAACTAATGAGCTATTTATACAGTAAATAGATCTATATTTCCCCAGATCACAAAATGATCTGGGGAAATAACCATCAGTGTATTCTATTGACTCTACAGGTATTTGCAGAGATTTTCGACCCAGTTATCAAAGTAAGACACAATGGCTATGACCCGAAGGTGATGAAGCATCACACCGACCTGGAAGCTTCCAAGGTAGGACCAATTTTACACCAAGTAACCAGTGCTCATCTGCAAAGAAAATGGTATTATGGACAGTAATAAAGGCGTGGTTCAGGGAGTGTATATGTAACTCTCTAAGTGACAAAATAGAAAAACATTACATTACATGAATCGAGAGCCAAAGCAAATTTGTTAAAGATGATGATGATGATGATGATGATGATGATGATGATGATGGTTGTTGTTGTTGTTGTTGTTGTTGCTGGTTTTGTTTTTGTTTTTGTTAAGAATTGGTAAAGAAACAGTTATGTGATGTCAAGTTGGATTTATAAGAACTCTATTAGAGCTTTCAATATAAGCAAGATATTTAAGGAATGGCTTTATCAGTTTCACTCCTCCAGTGAGTTTCCATGACCAAGTGGGAATTCAAACCCTGGTCACTAGAGTTCTAGTCCATCACTCTATTGACTACACTGCATGCATGCTTGTGGCCTACTAGATGTTACTGGACTGTAGTTCTCATTATCTCTCATCCTTGGATAGGAGTTCTGTTCCAATAGCACATGGAGGTCTACAAGTCCAATGGTGACTTCAGCCACCTTGGGTCCTTTTAAGGAGAAAGATGGGGTAAATTTTCTTTTGGACTTATATACCGCCCCATAGCGCTACAAGCACTCTCCGGGCGGTTTACAATTTAATTATACAGGCTACACATTGTCCCCCCCCCCAGCAAGCTGGGTACTCATTTTACCGACCTCGGAAGGATAGAAGGCTGAGTCAACCTTGAGCCGGCTACCTGGGATTTGAACCCCAGGTCGTGAGCACAGTTTTAGCTGCAGTACAGCGTTTTAACCACTCCAGTGTAATAATATAAAGCTCTCTCTTTCTTGGTGCAGATTACCCAAGGACAATTCGATGATCGCTACGTCTTATCATCTCGTGTTCGCACGGGTCGCAGTATTCGAGGACTGAGCCTGCCTCCTGCCTGTTCTAGGGCAGAAAGGAGAGAGGTAGAAAATGTTGTTGTAACTGCCTTGGCTGGACTAAAAGGAGACCTTGCTGGAAAGTATTACAGTCTTACCACTATGACTGAGAAAGAGCAACAACAGCTTATTGATGTAAGTATAATGCCCAGTCTGGGAGTAGGAACCGATAATGAAGCTATTTATAACACTGTATGTGAATCCTAAACAACCATCAATTGACTGAAAATGGTTCTTGAGAAATACTGAGAGTATAACTCTTATCTCCCTGAAGCATAAGACTTGCAGAGAGTTTTGGAGCCCATGTATACATAATAAAAGGACTCAGTTATGTTTGAACAGTTTCATTTGGGTCTAATTTAGATTTGCGTTACCTAGGGGCATTCTAGATTACCCTAGTCATATTATTTCCTCTCTCTCTCTCTCTCTCTCTCTCTGATGGTTTCTGTAAAGAAAATATGGGCTGCTTAGCCCTCTTTCCAGTTTGCTTAGCCCTCTTTCCAGTTTAAGGTCCTCCTGTAGAGATTGATGGCAAGTAGTATGATCTGGGATAGCTTAACTTTCTATGTTCCATTTTGCTTTTCCTCCATGGAATGGTTATTGCCCATATCTCACTATGCCCTCCTCATTGCTCGGAGTAGATAATTTCCTAAATACATTTGAAAATGCCTTAGAAGTAGCTTGCTGAAGTTTTCACACATGTATGATCACATCAACATATTCTTTTTATTTAATCATGGTAAATTAGGGATCTGTGGGTATCCTGGCTTATAAGGGGCATAGTGATACATGCTGCTCTGCCCAATTGCTCCCTTTTGCAGGGGCTACAGCTAAACAAACTGCAGAATTACAGTCTCCAGTTCATTTATTATGGCATGCAAACCCAGCAGACAGCTGGATCTTCTTTTGGCTTATTTATCTGCCAAGCCAAAGAGTTAACCTTAAAACATAGCCTAAATTATGTATCTGACTTCTGCAGGTTAGAGACCAGCCAAAGAGCTGAATTTCATGTCACAATAGATTATACCCTCCAACTTTTCTCAGGACTACAGTAATGTGAATTTGTAAGGGACATAGCTAAGCAACTTGAGTTGACAGGCTGTGGGTAGCCAGCCTGAGGGTATGGTCAAATGCCTTTCAGCATGCAACCTTCACATGCAGAATGCAGGAAGAGCAGGTAAAATTTACCACTGCACTGAAAACTAAGGCACGAGACTGAAACTGGGTGTTTGAGACTGTGATCCATAAAAACCTAAAACACCCAAAATGTACCCATCTTAAGGTGCCACCAGACTCTTTGTTTCTTTCATAGTTTTTCTGCAATAGATTAGTGCAGCTACCTCCCCAACTCTGGACAATGCCTTTGTATTAGGAAAAAAAAACATTCAAAGCACATGCCAACCTAAGGTAGCAGACATGTTTCTCCCCTTAAAGGTAACAGTTCCCCTTGACATTTAGTCCAGTCATGTCCAACTCTAGGGTGTGGTGCTCATCCCCATTTCCAAGCGGTAGAGTCAGCGTTTTGTCCGTAGACAATTTCCATGGTCACACGGCCAGAGCGACTAGACATGGAATGCCGTTACCTTCCCATCGTGGTGGTACCTATTTATCTACTCACATTTACATGCTTTCGAACTGCTAGGTTGCAGGAGCTGGGACAAGCGACGGGAGCTCACTCTGTCGTGTGGATTTGACCTTACGTCTCCTTGGTCTTCTGATCTTGCAGCACAGAGGCTTCTGTGGTTTAAGCCGCAGCACCACCACGTCTGTTTCTCCCCTTACCACCACCCTAACATATCTGCTTCCATTTCTGCTCAGCATTAAACCTTTCTATGCCCCCAATCCAAAGAAATGTCTATTTTACCTCTTTGTTACAAGTTACTCTGCACTATGGAATTGATTTCTTAATAAGTACAAATATATGAATGTATATATTTGCTTCTTCTTGTTGTTTAGTCGTTAAGTCATGTCCAACTCTTCGTGACCCCATGGACCAGAGCATGCCAGGCCCTCCTGTCTTCCACTGCCTCCCGGAGTTCGTTCACATTCATGTTGGTAGCTCCAATGACACTGTCCAACCATCTCATCCTCTGTCCTCCCCTTCTCCTCTTGCCTTCACATTTTCCCAACATCAGGGTCTTTTCCAGGGAGTCTTCTCTTCTCATGAGATGGCCAAAATATTGGAGCCTCAGTTTCACGATCTGTCCTTCCAGTGAACACTCAGAGTTGATTTCCTTCAAAATGGATAGGTTTGTTCTCCTTGCAGTCCAGGGGACTCTCAGGAGTCTTCTCCAGCACCACAATTCAAAAGCATCAATTCTTCCACAGTCAGCCTTTTTTATGGTCCAGCTTATTTGCTTAGGTATTTTTATTTAACTATAAGGCTTATTATAGTAGAACTTAAATCTGTGTCAACAATTCAAAGGACCATGCTCTGCTCTCAAGAAAATTAAATGTGGAATTAATTCTTCCCAAAGAAAACTATTATTTCTTTATCAGTTTAAATTTTCCTTTTCGAAATCTAAGATTCACAGTAGCATCAATCTTCCGTTTGCTATACCCAATCCCCATTCATTCATTCCTGTCTGTAGGCAGCTCTGTAAAACAGCCATCAATATAAGAAGGGAGGTGAGGTTTTCTCAGGACTGTGATGTTTACTTGGAAACTGGGAGAAGAAAGATAATGTTCTCTCATAAATCAAAGTGTCAATGGCATTGCTCATTGGCTAATCACACTGAAAGGTGGTAGGCTTGTTTCTTAGAAAACAATTGGAGAACCTGAAAAGAATTGCCTCTTATCTTTGCTTCCATGGGAGCTAGAGACTTCTATTTTAATGAAAGGTTGGGAATTAGGAATACAAATGAAGCAAAGAGCAATAAAAATAAAGAAGAAATCAGTCTAGTTAGAAACACTGTTGCTTTTAAAGATCAGAAACAGAACTAGGAATGAAGAACAGGATTAAACAGTGACACAAAAAGGTCAGACAATTTTTTTTGATAGGTCTCATGTCTCAAAAATGTAATATTCAGGTCCTTAATATTCAGGCTTCTCCTTTATATTGGTATACAAGCTGGTAAATTAATATAACCATTGATTTGAATCCTTACCCTTTGATTCTGCACAATGCTTCTCCATGATTTCCCCCTCACTATCATTACAATTCTTTCTAAAATCTTTGTCACTGCATGTGAATAAAAAAGCTACCACATTATAGGAGAAAACAGCCTTCATATTTGCACTGAATTAAAATCCAGCACAACCCTTATACCCTTGTTCTTTGTGCCTGTGTAACCTTTTTTTACGAGTTAGACACAAGATGCAGTTCAATTCAGTCCTTTCTTTCTTTCCCTCTGCTGTGCCTGTGTACTGGTCTGCAGGACCATTTCCTATTTGATAAGCCAGTATCCCCCTTGCTAACGTGTGCCGGAATGGCGCGGGATTGGCCAGATGCCAGAGGAATTTGGTATGGAATGTAAAACTCTGCTTGCTAAAAGTGTGAACAAGTGGTTTTATTAATTCTTTCCTAACACAATGGTTGCTGTTCCTAATTCTTTGACTGCATACGTTTTGTATAGTCTTTCTGCTTCTCTCCTTTTGCTCATGGATTTTATATGAGAACTATAAATTAACTGATTAAAGCAATAAAACAAGGGTGTTTAGTGAGCAAAACAAAATGGGGAAGTTTTAGCAACAGCACTTCTTGCCTTAGCGCCCCTCCCCATTTTTAACTAGGAGGAATAATATTGACTAAAGTCTACTGACTTGTTATGCTGCATTAATTTCCCCTCGTCACCCTTCTAAACTACAGCTGCACGGGTACCATGTGAAAATATTGCCTTCTGATGTTTTGTTATCACAGAAATGTTGCCTTTTCCATTAAAGCTGTGCAATAAACAACAGCCAGGTTTCTAAGCAGGTGCACAGCTGCTGCAACTGATCCCACTTGGGTTACCATGTAAACTGCTTGGCGAATATGTGACATGATGTGCTACAAAGACAAAACAACTGCTCCTAGAGTGTGTTCGAGAGCCAACACAGTTTTTCAGACCTGGGGGGGGCAGCTTTGGGAGGGAAATGCGTGGCCTTGAATATTTCCTCTCTGCTTCTGGGGAGACAAAATGGAGATAGAACAAGGAATGTACTCTGGGTGTGCCAGAGGGGTAGTGATGCCATATCTCTAACACTCCATCTTGGTATCAGTGGGCTAAAAGTTCCCCGGTAGCCTTACTGATATCAAGGGACTTCCAAAAGACCACTCCTCCTTCTTTTTCCTGTTGGAGGGAGCTTGGTTCAGATATTCTCTTTGGGGACAGAGAAAAGCCTGAAGAGAGATGCCTAGTCTCAGATCTTTCCTAGGAAAAAGAAAAATGATCAGCCTGGATACTTTTTCATCAAAGGAAACAAACAAGCATTCACTTAACAATATATACTATAATTCCGTTCTTTCACATATGTGTGGAATGACATCTCCACATACATATTTTCGGAGGGCAAAAAATGAAGGAGAGAAGAAGGGCAGCTATCAAAGCCAGGACAGGAAGGAAGAGGTCGTCCCAAGGACTATGCGATGTTGGGGGGGGGGGAGGCCACTATAAAATTAGTCACAGGTAATATCTGGAAATATACAATATACAATATTACAGATAAATAATATGAATAAATAATAAAAAGACATTATAGCAACTTATAGCAGGCAGTTATTGAGACCCTGAGATGTCTTCAGTGCTACACTTGTTGAGTATGAATAAGTAGTTTGCACCCCTGGTGGTATTGAACATCATCCCAAATTAAGGAGGCAGAATGTGCACCTAACTTACAAATAATGATAACTGTCTGCCCTAAAGTTAATTCTGACTTATGGCAATTCTTGTCAGGGTTTCATAGGTACAAATTACTCAGAGATGGTTCACCATTCCCCACTTCTGGGGGTGCTCTGGGGCTGTGCAGGCCAAATTTTCTCCCAGGAAGTACAGTGGAGAATCAAATGCCCAGCCTTTGGCTCGACGCACTTAGCTATCCAGCCAGCTCTAACTTCTTTATGTGCCATACTAAATGCTAAGCATGCATCCTGAAAATATACTGTGCACAACACATTTGCTTCAGAAAGCATGTTGTTGGAGCTACGTTGCTGTTGCTGCTACGTTTGTGTGCACTGAGTGGCAGAGTCATTTCACTGAACATGCAATTAATCTACGAACCAGTTGTGTTGCTAAACGTCTAGGAAATGAACCGCTTTTAGAGAAGAACATGTTTCAGGCTTTAGAAAGGACGCAACTTCAAATGTTCCTAATTCACAATTAGAGGGGGAGATTTCCACTTCCTCCCAGTTTAAAAAGCTGTCCATAGCTTGCCACTTCTCAGTTCCCATAGTAGCACATGCTTCATGCTGCAGTCATTTCAGAGAATGAAATGTATTTTCAATAGTTAACTGCAGTTCAGCATCAGTGGGATCAGCAGTGAGAAATATTGCTCTTTATCTAGACTTAGAAACCATGATTTACAATTAGGTTGTAAATAATGGGTGATGGAATGAACTTGGGAAATCTGGAGTTACTAGAAATCCTCAGCAACACTTATTCTTAGCGTGGCCACAGCAGTATTATGACATGACTCTGCTCTGCCTGCATCAGTGATAGATAAGAAAAAAGAGAGGTGAAATGAAGCTATCCAGCATATCTGAGAATGTTTTTTTAAGGCTTATGTGACAAAAACAGCAGTTGTTTGTTCTCCTTCAATTAGGCACAACAATGACAAAACGTTTCTTGTCTGGATCAATGAAGAGGATCACACCAGGGTGATCTCCATGGAAAAGGGAGGCAATATGAAAAGGGTCTTTGAAAGATTTTGCCGTGGATTGCAAGAGGTAGGGACTTGGTTGTGTCATTAAATATAAAGAAACATATGTTTTCAGTGTTTTTGGTACAGCATCAATTTTATTCTTGTGGCACAACTAATAATTTTTCATGTTATTTTAGGGGGCTTCATCAGGCACAGTGTTCTGAAAACAGGCCTGGTTTTTAGACCAGTGCAGAATAGGACCCAAACTATTTGTTACAGACTGGAATTCGTAGAGTATATGAGTTGAACAGAGCTACTACTGTGCCACTCACATGTCTTTTGGTGTTTAAGGAATTCCCATGTCAAAGGACTTGTGAAGTAACACAATTATTCTATGATTCTAGGAGTGCACATGTTGTAATGGGTATTCTGTCAGAGCTTCCCACCTTCTACCAGACTTGTGTATCAGAGTGTGAACCTAATGGATGAGAAAGAATAACTATGTTCCTAGTGTTGCACTCTTCCACAGTTCTGTCACAACTCTTGGCTGAAAATAGCTCGTCTCTTCAGAGCAAAGATTGGCATGATAATGAGAGTGCCAGGAGATACTGAAGGCATGTTAGTAGAGACGATGTGGTGTTAATAGTATACAGTGATGTCTAATTGGTCAACCTATTATATAAATTCATATGGTATTTGAGGTAGCTAATCTATATGTGGGGAAGCTTGAGAGTGATATTGAGAGTATTATTTCATTGAATGAAATAACCCTCTTGCATATTTTTAAAGATCCAAGGAAGTGTCTCACTTTATAAGCCATAAGAACTCACACTGAAATAAATAATGTACTCTTTAAATCACCACCATTCCTTTGTTTGCCTTTTTGTTATACTTCTTTGATATTATGCAGGATATTTATTTGCTGAACAACATGTATTTTGCTTGAGATTCACCAATTTATTTTATATATCTGGAGTGGGAACCAGCACGATTTTAATAGGCTTCATGGATGGGTGAGCTCAAAGAAAGCTAACATCAAATTTAAAATTCATTACAATGGCTCAGAGGTTCATTTAAAAAAAAAAAGATTTAAAAGATGAAGAAAGAGTGAACTGGCTTACTACCTCCTTGTATAAATCCACCTCTCAAGCCAGGATTATTAAATATAAAATGGACAGTTTTAAAGTTGAAATAAAACTGTTCAAATGAAACAGATTTCAAATATGAACTTCATGTATTAATGGACCAGCTGTGTCATAGAATAGTCCCTCAAAGTTTGTCAAAAGCATTTCGCTAAACCAAATCTGGATTTTTAAGACAATATGATAGGATGCAATCCAATTGCTTGAAGTGCAGTCTGACATTTAATCGTACTAGTAACAGCGCACAAGGGAACATTAAAAAGCACTGGCACATAATCCAACATGTTTCAGGATGCCAAGACAAGATCCTGATCTCTTAAAAAATACAATATAGGGGACATACTAATAAGGAGTGAATTCATGGAGCAGACACCAGACTTATCTTGACTTATTTAAAAATGTTTATAACCAATTTGGAATTGGGTATTGAATTTTTTCTTTATTTTATAAGTAATTATACATAAAGACAAGTGCTATGCTGAAAAGGGCATCTTCTGTGTAAGAAGTGCATGCTCATGTTTACAACACAAGCATACTCTTCATGCATATATCAAGTGAAAAGAGAAAATATTTCTTATTTAAAAAAAATTTTCACAAGCAGAGCCAATCCATTTTATATAATTAGTCAAATGAGAATGGGAGGATAGTTATACTTGGACAGGGCTTCCCATTTAAGATGATAATGAGCCCACCACTGACAAAACTTTTAAAAGCTGGAAACCCAGGGCTCAGCTTCACACACATGCCAAGCAGGAATTCTGGCTGAAATCAGTTTTCTGAATAGAACTGGAGAGCTAATACACTGATCAACCTGGTCTCCAGTGGTGCAGTTCCACTTTTTATATTTAGTTTCTCAATGAAAAAAATTCTACCCTCTGTCTCACAAGTGCAGCAGTACTACGTAATGCCAGGTATTTGACTGTAAGTCTCTGATAGCAAATATCAGTTTGGCCCAATTATTATACAAGCTGCTGTGAAGGTCTATTTTTAACAGAGAACAGGAATTGTTAACAGATGGCCTGTCTGTATGCTGCGTTCATTGCATTTTATTTTCCATGCAGGTTGAAAGGTTAATTAAAGAACGAGGTTGGGAGTTTATGTGGAACGAACGTTTAGGATACGTCTTGACCTGTCCATCCAATCTGGGAACAGGATTACGTGCAGGAGTTCATGTTAAACTTCCAAAGCTTAGCAAGGTGTGTAAGCAACTAAAATGGATTTTCAGCAGATGTAAATAAATTTTGCAATGTCAATTCGAAAGGATAAGACAAATTAGCATTGCTTGTAGACTTCTTCATCACTTTAAAACATAAATTAAATAGGCAAGTGTTTCCAAACACATATATTATAGGAACTACTGTTATGTAAAAATAACTCATTTTCTCTTACAGGATCCTAGATTTTCAAAGATCCTGGAAAACCTGAGACTTCAGAAGCGTGGTACTGGTGGGGTAGACACAGCTGCTGTGGCAGACATCTATGATATCTCCAACCTAGATCGTATGGGCCGATCAGAGGTAAAACCTCCCATCCCCAGCTTTTCAAAGTGGGTTGAATACAAGGGTAAACTAGCTGGATCAGTTGATATTTTTTATTATTTGCAAGATCAAGGCAAATCCTACATGTATCTACTCAGAAGTAAGCCATGATTGTTTGGGGACCGGGGTTAGTTAATTTTGGGGTTGTTAGGGTTGACTAGTGATGGGGGGTTGAGGGGGAGGCTATGAGTGGTGAGGGTTATAAAATAAAATAAAACAGCAGTTCCGCAAATGGTATGAACAATTTTCTGACATGTTCAGATTGTGGAATCAGTCAGATACTGCACATAGACAGAAAACTGGTCATGCACCCCAGGGTGTAACAGACAGCTGGGAGACAGTTGTCTTAGTTTGTTGCAGCAAAAATAACATGAGTGTCTTGTGGTGCTTTTAAGTCTAACACATTTTATTTAATGAAAACCCTTGCTAAATAAAATTCCTTAATCTTAAAGGTGTCACAAGTCTCTTTCACTGATTTACAGGCACAGGAATGGCATAAGATTCCAGCATATACTAAAGCAGGGCTTATTGGATCCAATCCATTTTTATATATTGTCATTTCTATACTCAGCTAACAAAGGAGTCAGACACCCAAAGGAAGAAACCAATAACTGCATAACCAGAAAGTAATTTCAATATAAATAAAACAAGACAGAGCAACCCAAGAGTACAGGAAATTTTCATTATCAGAAATGTATTTTATAGTATATAGTAAAATAAATGTAATTGTACGATAAATGTTTTTTCCTCAACTGAATAATGTTCCCACAGGTACAATATAACACTGTTTAGCTTTGATTTGCTTCAGTTGCTGGTCAATACAAAGTTAATAGAATTTTTTTTATCCCGCCACCTGGAAGATAAGAACTCTGATTTCCCTGTACATGTAGCCTGTAAAAGCATAATAAGCTAAACAAGTAAACCACTGAAACATCTCGTATTGTTTTAAGAAATTTATTTTAGAATCAGTCATTGTCAAAACCAAGATTCACCAGGATTTAGTTTAGGCAGTCTGACACTCATTATTCCAGACTGTTATTGGGATGTCCTGTGAAGAAATATTAGCGTTACAGTTTCCTTAATGTCACCAGGAACTGAAACAGGCTAAGAAGGCTTAGTACAGGGCTCTCTCTGCATGACTTTGATTTGTTTGCACATCCTGTCAGAAAGATCAGACAATGCTATCAAGGGAAAGACACTTTCAGTGCTGGAGCCAGGAACCTTTGCTTCTGTGCACAGCTTTCTATCTAGTGAGCTTTCAAAACTACTGCTTGAAACACCTCAGGCAGGTCATCCGCTGCTCCTTCACAGAAGGGTTGCAAAGCTTTCCTGTCTTGACTAGGACCTTAACTCACAAACAAGGTCTTCTCAGGTTAGGTCCTTAGTTTTCAATTCCCGGTTTGGACTTTTCACTGAGAACTCTTAGGCTCAGATCCTAGGTGCCTCCACCTAATTCTGGCAAACTAAACTCTCTCCCTTTGTCTCATCTGATGCTGATCAGGAGAGTCCACATACCCTCCAGATAAATTTTGGTTAACTAGGGAAGCTGAAGAATGAAGTCCCAATTTTCTCTTCTGCTTAGGATTCTCAAGATTCAGCCCATCGGCTAAAATCCTGTTTGCTCAGTGTAGTAAGTCACATTAGAGTAGGCTCATTGAATCAGTGGGGATTTGATGAGTCAGCTCGTCCGTAAGTTCCATTGATTCAAACGGGTCCAATGAAATTGTGGCTTACTATGCTAAAGTAAGTTGCAATAAGAGTAGGCCCATTTGAATCAATGGAATTTAGGAAGGGGCTGACTCATCAAATCCCCAGTGATTCAATGTGTCTACTGGTTTTACTGAATAAGCAAGCCATGTAGTAAATAATTTAAAACTGAATTATCCAGATCTTCCACAGTTTTAGAGTGCACATTTAGTAGACTCTCTCTTTTTTTGTTATTTAAGGTGGAACTTGTTCAGTTAGTCATTGATGGTGTCAATTACCTGGTTGACTGTGAGAAGAAGCTGGAGAAAGGTCAAGACATCAAGATACCACCCCCACTGCCCCAGTTTGGAAAGAAGTAAAGCTGCTTCCAGCGATTCCCAACTGCCATGAAATGTATCTGTTAAGGCAGACTTTTAACACTGCATATTCATTTCCTTAAAAACTATAACTTTAACAGAAATTTAAAAGTAAGATCCTGAGAGCACATTCAATAAAATGCTACCTGGTGACTCATATTTTTCAGATATCTAAAACTACTTTTTAACATGATGAAAGTTAACAAGTCAATCCTAGGTGGGTAAAGTGTTATGCCAAATTAACATGAATGTTATCTCAAAAGCAAAAGAATAAAAACAGAGACAAATGTCAAAGCCACTTTTCATGGCAACATCACCATGACCTTATCCAACAAAATGGAGCAAAAGTGGGCTACAATACACAACCGCTCCATGCATAGCTTGGGAATGAAAAACACTGGTGGACCTAGAAGACAACTTTGCAGCTCTAATGTGTTCTCCCCACCCCCAGTCACTGCAGGCTCTAGGAGGCCTGGAAATGGTGAAGTGGTTGAGTGGATCTTTGAACATCTCTCTTTATGCATCACTCTCTCCACTATGCACACTGGGATGTAGCTGTTCTATCTCTATCAGGCCATGCCAGCAACTGTCTCTTTATTTTATATAAACTGGCAGCCTGCTTAATTACACCAACAGTATCCAGACTGTGGTTGGTGAGTGGAGAGACTCGGGAGTCTTAGTGCAAGACGGTGGCCAAGATGGAAACTTCCAGCCCAAGGAGGTTTGTTTGTTTGTTTATTAAATTTCTTTATGTTGGTCTTTTTCCCATCAGTATCCCACCGTGAACAGCTAAAGTAACATGAGTGGTATCATAAATTTATTATAAGAATAAGATAGAACCGAAACATTTACAAATTTCCTGCAATATCAAGAGTAGTATAATAGGATCTTCCAAAAGCAACAAAACACTAAGGTTGGCCAACCTTTTTGTTTCTATGAGCACAGTCATAGTGTTTTCCTTCAGAGTAAACACAGAATAATTGGCGGGACATATGACCTCTATTAGCAGTGTTACAAGGTTAGGAAATAAGTTCTATCAGGCGTGTATCTGCAAAAAACTGTAAAAAACACAAAACACCCCTTTTGATTCAGATTTGTAGCCCAACCTGTTTACTTGGAACAAAAACTATGCATGATTAACTTCCAAGTGTGCAAGTCTGGATTATGGTTTGTTTGTTTTTTACTGACCCAGCTCTGACGCTGATATTCTAATTTAGTAATTTGATAGCAGTGCCATTGGAAATGCTGCACCTACAGTATGTATAACAAACAAACCTACATTTATCCAAATATGCTTAGCATAATCTTAAATTTTCTTTTGTTTTGTTTCTTGCCCAAAATGTAGCCTTTGCAAATTTGCTCTGTTTTCCATAGTGAGTGGACTGAGCCTTTCCCAGATTTGACAATTAGCAAATTAGATAGCAGCAAGAGCATTCAAATCCCTGTAGCTTGTCACTTGGCATATTCTGGCAACACAAACCTTGGTTGCTTTTACCATCCATTGATGCCACCAACCCTTTGGCTAGGTTTCTATGAAGCTGACAGGGTTCACATACTAGCCAAGAACATACTGTTTTGTGCTTCTGCAGAAAATCATTACATGGAGTGCCATGAGGGTGACAGCTCAAGTGTTCTGCTGAGAAAGGAATCTGGGGAAAATGTGTAGCAGGAAACAGACAGCACAGAAGGCTTGTCAGAGATAAAAAGAACATGTTGATTATGATCCCATAAAGAGTTGGGGCATTTTAAAATCCTCCAAAATGCATGCTGATCTTTTGTAATTCTCTCATCTTTCATTCCCATTACAACAAAGCATGCACTCATGAAAGGCTTATTTCAGATTTTAAAGATTTGAATGGAAATGTGTATAACTAATAAGCATGACTGTATTTCAAGGGAAATCTACAATCAACAGGAAGAATGTAACAAAAACAAATTGGTCGGCAAAAAGTCAAATTATTTCTGGAGGAATTCCATGTGTTCCATCTGTTTCAGAGCCCACTAAAAGACATGAACATAATAGAAAATCTTCAAGTTAGGACAAAGGTTAATAACAAGACATTAGCAGAAAAGGTAAAGGAAGAAAGCGGCGGTTAGGGGAAGCTCATCTAAAATGAGGGCATTTGTAAAAAGGAAGACCAAAGGAAAAATCAAGAGGGTCATCTGTTGGAAAAGTGCCTCCGGATTACTCATATAATGGAGGCTCAGCTAGATTATATATCACAAGTCAAGAAGGCCAGTTCAAGCTACAAGAAATCAGTATCATGGCTACCCCAAGTAGAGTGGAGGGAGATATAGAAGGTAAAAAGGAGCTTCCTTCAGAAAAGGGCCTTCATGGATAGGGGTGACTCCCCAAACGCAGGAATACCACTAGATTTTTTTCAAAGTACTTTGGGGTGCCTGCCACAAACTGCAGTCAAGAAAAAAAATAAGGAATTGTTATGAAGCAGTTGGACCACTGGATAACAATGAAGTTAAAGGAGCCCCACAGGATAAACGGAGACTGCAGAGAAGCTCAGACTAATTGTTTCCATCTGTATTTCATCTTAATTCTTTTCATTATCTTTTCACAAGTCACATACCCATGTCTGAACTAATATTTCCAAGGCTGGGAAGAATAAAAAGTTGAGATAAAGAGTGGTAACAAGAGAAGAAGTTGTGTACCTTACTGACTAACCAAAAGAGGATATAATAAGATCCAGATGGTATCCATCCGAGAGTACCTAAACAAATCTAATGTGAAATGCAGGTGTTCTACTAAAATGTGTAAAATGTCCCTATAATTAGCCTCTGTATTAGACAACTTAGCTAATAAAACTAGGAATTGCCCAATAATTACCCAACATCAATCCAGCAAATTACAGGCTAGATAATTTTGTGGTAACTCTATGGTAATTAATTGAGAAGCATGATTAAAGATAAGATTGTCATAAATCCAAAAATGGTAGGCCCCATTGAAAATATACATTCTGAAAAGTTAAGTCTAATCTCTTCCAGAGTTCTACTAAACATGTGGGCAGGAATAATTTTTTAGACATTTACTTGGAATTCCAAAAGTCTTTTGGCAAACATTCCTCAAGAAAGGTCCCTGAGCAAAGATTCCTTAGTAGTCATGGGATAAGAGGAAACATTTTCTTATGAATTGAAAACTCCTGTTCTCATAAAGAACGGGAAGCAAAGAGCAGGAATAAAGGAGTCAGATCTTGCAACAGAGGGAAGAGAACAGTGAGTCCCACTGGAATCTGTATGGGGCTCACTAGTTTTTTTTTTTAACTTGCTCATAAATTGTGGAGTTAGGGTAGTGAGGTGGCCAGTAGTAGAGATAAATTCTGTTGCTTAGCACAGTAAATCACCCATTAATCAATTGGGATTTGATGGATCAACTCCTCTATTAGTTTCATTGATCTAAATGGGCATACTCTAGTTGCTACATACTTTATTATAGTAATTCACAACTAGACTAGGGCTATTTGAATTAATGGAACTTACTGAGAAGTTGATGCACCAAACCGACTGACACTATGGGCCTAGTGCAACTTATAGACTAAAAAACAGCCAGGATGCCTCTAGAGTTCTAGATCACTTGTTGGGTTGCATGAGATGTAAGTTGCTGTTACACTCATGTTACACTCATGTTCTGATACAGGTAATCTCTAAGATAGTATTTCCCAAGCTTTTTCATGACCCCCTGCTACCCACAGGTAATGAAAAAGCATTTTAATAGGGCAAAAAAAACACATTAGTGGTTGTTGTGGGTTTTTTGGGCTGTTTGGCCATGTTCTGAAGGTTGTTCTTCCTAACGTTTTGCCAGTCTCTGTGGCCGGCATCTTCAGTCAAATGGCTGATTTAACATACTTTTTTTTTTCCTGGAAATGTAATTGTTGACCTTTTATTGGTATTCCACTATCATAAAACACCATAAAGAATTCTGGGAGGTATTATCCGAAAACTAACTTTTCCGGATTCTGCCCAGAATTAACAAAGACATCTGTGAAAACACATTTTCTGTTGCAGGGATGGACAAAGTATGTTTGTGCTTTTTCAACACCACAGTACAAAAACGAGACATAAAGAAACAACTTTTTTTGCATAAAACATGTTGGGGGCTGTCCATCAAAGCTCAAAAAGAAAGGGGGGGATGTTCAACTATTAGTAGTATGTGCCCACTCTCTCTTTCTCTCTTTCTTTCTTTGTATTTTTTTAAAAACACTGAATGACATCTCCAGGCCTGGTACAATCTGCAGTGGGCGCTGGAAGGACCAGTAAAGTTGTGGGCCTCTCCTCTGCTGATTGAGGGTTAAGCACCTGAAACAGTAGCAGCTGCCAGCGTCACAGCTGACATTACCAAAGTCACAGTTCTTCTAATGAACTGCCATTTAAAGCTTCTGTAAAGGAGGCACACAAGTAACCTCTACCTCCAACCATTAAAGATATTATTTCATTTACGCAATTGTTCTCACTGCCCTTCCATGTTCCACAGCTTGTTCTACATTCCTGATACATCACAGCAAAAACACCAAACAGGAAATTGATTTGAGAGCTCTGATTTTAAAAACAAATATTCTTTAGCAGATGGAATTTTTAATTTTGAGCTAACTTAAATAATCAATCAGAGATTTTCCATTAGGAGAAGCACCTCTGTGAAAAACAAACACAAAACCAAGATAAACACATTGTTTAGTTTGACTCCGTCTTTGTGATTACCTAATACAATGGAATTTGTTTTTGCTGTCATGAGGTTAATTTTGGGGAAAAGAACATTTTTGTTTTAGGTAAGGAAAATATATTTTACAGCAAAAAGCACACAAACCCAAGAATCTCTAGTCATTTATATACAGCATATATAGCCATACCTTCACCTCTGGAATCAACAGAACATTTTCCAGAGAAGGTACATGTGTTTGAAGATCTATTTTAGAGATACTTTTAGCATGTAAATAAAAAATATGAGGTACATGAGGTAAACATCATTCAGTTGGATGTAGTGAATAAAGTGACAGACTAGGACTCACAAGACCGGAGTCTGAATCCATGCTCTGCCATGGAAACTCATGGAAAACCCTGTTGGTTTACTGTACCTCAGATCCCATGTAACGGAACATGAGATGTTGCCTGTAGGCTCTAATACGTTTTGCTGCCTGAAGTAGAGAAGCAAATGGCAGC